ATGGGTAAAAGTTCAAATCCCAGCCCTGCCACTTACTCATGATGAGACCTTGCCAAGCTGCTTAAATCCTCTGAGCCTCAGATTACTCACCATTAAAATGGAGACAACATGCCAGGATGGTGGGACGCATTAAAGAGACCATAAGAGAAGCACCTGGCACATCATGAAAAACTAACAAATGGTAACAGGAAAACACTGAAACCCTCCAAGAAAATTAATGGACAAAGGACATAAACTAAAAAATCACAAGCAGGAAATACAACCAGTGAATCAGCATATGGGAAGAGACTTATCTCCTTTAGTCACAGAGGAAATGCAAATTAATACAAGGTGACACCCCTCCCCCCTTCAATTAACAGAAACATTTTCAGGTGATAATTCCTGATGCAGAGGAAGATGTGGTCAAACTGAGCCGTCTGCATTGTTGGTGGCTGTGAAATCTGCAGTTTTGTGGAAAGCAATTTGGCAATACAGATCATCACACAAACATGTTCGCAATCTTTGGCCCAAACATTTCCTCAGGAAGTAATTTAAGATGTGGAAAAAGCTATGTATACAGTGATGCTTCTGCCTAATAATGGAAAAAAAGTACATTTATTTTTTGCTTACATAAAGACCTTATTGTAGTAAAAAATACACAGTGGGTGGTGTCAGCCCCAAAAATACACAGTGGGTGGTGTCAGCCCTCACAGGTCAGTGGAGTAATTGTTTTGTGTTTAAAAGGGACATATAACCAATCATTCAGGCCTTCAGACAGTCCCTAAACCCTGTTTTAATTCGTAGTTGAATATATTTCTTTTTTTTTTTTTTTTTTGAGATGGAGTTTCGCTTTTGTTGCCCAGTCTGGAGTGCAATGGTGAGATTTCGGCTCACTGCAACCTCCACCTCCTGGGTTCAAGAGATTCTCTTGTCTCAGCCTCCCGAGTAGCTGGGATTACAGGCATGCGCCACCATGCCCGGCTAATTTTGTATTTTTAGTAGAGATGGGGTTTCTCCATGTTGGTCAGGCTGGTCTCGAACCCCTGACATCAAGTGATCCTTCCGCCTCGGCCTCCCAAAGTGCTGGGATTACAGGTGTGAGCCACGGCGCCAGGCCAGTTGAATGTTTCTTTAGAAAGGCTTTTAGAGCTCTACTAGCCAGTGGTCAGATTAGTAATCTAAAAATTATGTTCCTCAATCTGTTCATTCTCGGGTGAAGCTTGGAGTAATGTGAAACTAAAGGAAAGATAAAAAGGGGACACTATTCTGTCAACTGTACACCAGATTTTAAAATCTGTTTAGAGGAAAGAGGTAAGCCAGGGTAGAAACTTTCATTCTTCAGCCCAGGCCATTAGAGGCGCAGGCCCGACTGAGTGAGACATCAGAACTATATGGGTGGGCTCTTTCTTCTTTTCCTCCTGTCCCCCCTGGGGCTCTGTTTCCCCGTCTGGAGGAGAGGCTTGGTGAGTCTCTCTCTCGGCCAGAGGTGGCACGTTCAGCCGGGCCTGAGCTGCTTGCTGGGCTGTGCGCGCGCAGCTGCGGCGTGAGTCATATCCTCCATCACTCCTCCATCTGTGTGTGCTTTGTGGTGCAGGAGGACCCCAAGGGCACTTCGGGAAGGCGGGAATGTGCAGAGACGACGGCATCCAGTCCGAGCTGTACCTTCTGCCGCAGGCTCCTTGAATGGTGAGAGCTTCTTGTGGCTACATTCCCAGGATGGGTGGGAGTCAGTCCTGGCATAGTAACTCCCGTGAGAGTGGGTGGCAACTAACCGAGGCCACTGGCTGAGTTAGAGTCACAGATCTCAGGCCTGGGCACAGATCCCAGCCTCCCTCACGCCCCACAGATCCTCTAGCAGTGGTTCTCAACTGGGGAGAACTTCAAAATCAGCATGGGAGATTTTAAAATCGTGCACATGCCTCCACCCCACCTACCCTCTCAGCATCGCCAGCGGTGGGGCTCTGCTAGGAATATTGCTTTTAAATCTCCCCAGGTGATTCAGATAAGTCCCTTGGTTAACAATCATGGTTACAGCCCACGGAGGGGAGTCCTGGAGGCGTTGTTTGGACATTGCCCACATGGGGGATTCTTATCCTCTATAACAAACAGCTCCTACCATCCCTACTCTCTCCTTAAGATGAGCAAAAGTATTCTCTGTTGGGTTTCACCTGAGCCCCCCAGTCCCAGGAACAAGCCTCATCCATCTTCTCAGGACTGACTTCTTCCTATTCCTAAGCAAGAAATCTTCCAGAGCTAACAAGCTGTAAATCATGTAAAATCCTCAGGAGAAATCCTTTGTTTTTGAAACACCCATCGGTGCAACTATTAATCTGTGTCGCTTCAGTGTCATTTATTTGAAGCTTCTTTCAGGTAGCGAGAGATGCTACTTACAAGCTCACCATGGACTCCGGCCAAAGCTTGGCTCATTGACCTTTGGAAGGTTGAGTCAGGGAGGCAGCAGGTGTTTAGAAACCCCTGTTATATGTACGTAATGGACTCTAATAGAAGCAGGTGGCAGGGTCCGAAAGACGGAGGCTTCCTGTTAGAAAGCATTCCATCACGGGAATGGGCACCTGCCTTAAGTGTTCTACTGAGTGTCCACACCTGAAAAAAGAAACTGCATGAAGCTTGTGCTAAAAATGTCATGTGTCATCTTGTGCGGGTCATGAAACCACTATGTCAGTCATCAGCTTTGAGCTCCCCTTTAATCCAAGAGGCACTCATGAAGCTTACTCACAGAGTCATCCCAGGCCTACTATTTTTATTTATTGAATTAAAGTCTAATTTTGGATTTTTAAAGGTTTTACAAAGTATAATGAAAGCATTTTGACATTTAAAAACATTTTTATTAAGCATTCAAGGTACTAAATCTCTCTCTTTGAAACTCCTGGTCTACACCCTACAGAAGTACATAAGTACCAAGTCAGGGACCAATGTTCCAGACTAAATAAATATACTTTTTTTTATGATCGACAAGACGGAAAGACAAGCACAACCAAGTGAAAATCAGATCTCACAGTGAATCCACTGCTGGGGGGGATCAGGAGATACACATGACTTATGAATTAAAATCTTGGCAAACTACACAATCCCTGAGGAATTACTGATTGAAGGGAGGGCTATATACTCTTTCTGTTAGAAGATTAAATCTCTTTGATGGGACTTTGCCTTTATGAAGCTTGCTGATGTAAATACTGTTTTCAGGATATTTGTAAGTTGTTTATATATAAGTGGATAAGTTATATATGTGTAAAACGTAAAATATGCTTATCCCTTTATGTTATTTCTAATGCAAAACTTTGGATTTAAGGGTGTACTTAGCTACTTGTGTAACAAAAAACTGTCTTCTCCAGTGGAATTATGTTTGGCCAGAAGATTTCGGTGCACAAAGGAGTTTAACAGTAGAAAAAGTCCTGTGTTGGACTGCACGCACTTGAGTGAGATCCAAGTTTCCCACTTTGGAGAGCAGATGTTCAAATGCCCCAGAGGAGGAGGGTGGAGACAGAAAATGAGGTGTGAGAAAATATGTGACTCAGGAGGACAGCATGTTTTTCCAAGAGGAGGGAAAGGGCCCGGCTTCTCAGCCCCAGCCTCACGAACCCCCAGCCCCATCCCTTCTCCACCAACAGCAGGCCAGGGCACAGCGCTGTGAGCCTGTGTTTGCCCAGTAATAACTTGGGCTCAAACCCTAGCCCTGGACAATCTGCCTCATTCATGCCAGGATGTCTTGGGCATGGTGCCTTCCACACTAAGAATGAACAACTTTCCCTGGGGGCTATTACTGTATCCCAGGAGTTGAGCAAGACCTTTGTTCAGAGCTGTTATTAATTCGAATTCCTTTGGAGGAGTTGGGATTTCTGAGGAGGAGGGAGGAAACTAGGTGGGCCACAGGAAGGCTCCTGAAGAATGTTCATTGCAGCTGCTTCCTTCTGATGCCCCCTGGTGGCCACATGCAACTAAAATCATCTCCATATGCTCTCAGCCTTTAGTGCCAGACACCCGACAAAGCCCACTTTGCTGGAGTTGTATATAATCAGCTTCAGCTTGTACTTCGAGGGCCAAAGCTACATGATCCATTACTGACATATTGCATAGCTTCTTCCCTTGGTAGGAACTCTGTTTTTTTTTTTTTTTTTAAGATGAGTTTCGCTCTTATCCTTAATAACAAACAGCCTGTTACCCAGGCTGGAGGGCAATGGCACAATCTTGGCTCACCACAACCTCCGCCTCCTGGGTTCAAGTGATTCTCTTACCTCAGCCTCCTAAGTAGCTGGGATCACAGGCAGGTGCCACATGCCTGGCTAATATTGTATTTTTAGTAGAGAAGAGGTTTCTCCCTGTTTGTCAGGCTGGTCTTGAACTCCTGACCTCAAGTGATCTGCCTGCCTTGGCCTCCCAAAGTGCTGGGATTACAGGCATGAGCCACCACACCCAGCCTGGAGTGGATTTTGAGGCATTTGAGGAAAACTCCAAATGTTATAATTCCATACTTCAAATGTGTTTTGTATATGTGTATATGATGATTAGATATTAACCTCTGAAGAACAAAACATTTATTTTTCATGTCTTGTATACATTTTCTTATCAGGCCAAATTGTGCCAAGGTGCCATTTCTTGTAGAAAAGCTCTCAGGCAGGCAGAGGAGAGCTCTGTGTGGAGGATGACACGCCCCTCCCATGCTCTTCCAGGCTCTGATATAACAAAATTTAACTTTTTAGCTTTACCAAAACTTTCCCTATCTCTATTAGAAATGCACTAAAAGTTTACAGTATCTAATACACCTTTTTTAGGAAGCAAAAAGTGGAGAAAAAAGGCCACAGAAGGATCAACTGTGGAAGATTTTCAATTGTCCATGAAAAGTCACTGCACTCAGATTTGACTCCCAGTAAGTTGATGGGCTTGGGCTGGGTGCTCAGTGTTCAGGGTCCCTCCCCATGGGGTCTGCTCACGGCAGGTACTTGCTTGCCATCTGCCACTCCAAGAGCATTTCCTTACCACTAGGATGTTGCATGTTGTATTATTTGCAAAATGTAAAGAATTAATAGGTGGGGCATGGGGGCTCACACCTGTAATTCCAGCACTCTGGGAGGCTGAGGTGGGTGGATTACTTGAGCTCAGCAGTGCAAGACCAGCCTGGCTGACATGGTGACACTCCCATCTGTATAAAAATATGCAAAAATTAGCCAGGTGTGGTGGCTCTCGCCTGTAGTCCCAGCTGCTTGGGAGGCTAAGATGGGAAGACTGCTTGAGCTCAGGAGGTCAAGGCTGCAGTGAGCCATGATCATGCCACTGCACTCCAGCCTGGGTGACAGAGTAGGAACTTGTCTCAAAAAAAAAAGAATAACTCAATAAGATGTGCTTAAGTAGAGTGAAGCATGAACACCTGTTTCTAGCTGAAAATGCAGGGCTCTGTGGACTCGCTTACAAGGTGTCTTTCAGTCTGTCCATCCTCATCCTTCCCACATGACCCAGAACTGTACCTGGTAAGGTTACTGGCAATGTGAGTGTTGCTCTTGCCTTGGATATATGCATTTCATAGATGCAAAGAAAGCTGGAGCTGGGAGGTGCCCCAGAGAGCACCAGTGCATGCAGTTCATTGGTTTTTCTTCATAAGATCCTTTCTTCGAAGACAGTTTAAGGAGAGAAACTATCTTAAAATGATGCCACTCTTCTCACTGAAATTTTTTGGAAATAGTTATTTTCATTAAAACATGCTGTTTTGTTAATATGAAATGGATTTATTATTTTTAAAATGCTATAATAAATAAAATTGTCTTTTAAATGTCTCGTTGTAAAAAAAAAGCGCTTTGGAACTGCTCATTTAGTTTTGGGTAATCTAAATGATTCTGCACAAGCAAAAAATGACTTGTAATCTATAAATCAGTAGCTCTCTACCAATCCATCTGCAGTGGACTGAATGTTGAATGATAACTGTTCTCCAATGGGGGGGCGGATTTGACCTCAGATATATAAAATGGTATATATTAGCATTTTATGGTAGATAAAAACCACGGAAACAAAGGCTCTTTAAGGGTTGTCAATTTTAAGACTGTAAAAGGGGCCGGGCGCGGTGACTCAAGCCTGTAATCCCAGCACTTTGGGAGGCCGAGGCGGGTGGATCACGAGGTCAAGAGATCGAGACCATCCTGGTCAACATGGTGAAACCCAGTCTCTACTAAAACTACAAAAAATTAGCTGGGCATGGTGGTGCATGCCTGTAATCCCAGCTACTCAGGAGGCTGAGGCAGTAGAATTGCCTGAACCCAGAAGCCGGAGGTTGCGGTGAGCCGAGATCGCGCCATTGCACTCCAGCCTGGGTAACAAGAAAAAAAAGAAAAAAAAAAGACTGTAAAAAGGTTCTAGAATCGACAGTTTGAAAACTGTTGCCAGTGTATGAAACATAACTCTCACAACATCCCTGCAATTCAGGAATGATTAGCTTTATTTTATAGATAAGAAACTGGAGGCTCAGAGAAATTAAGTGACTTGGCAGGCCCAAAGAGTGAGTGTATTAGTTATCTATTGCTGTGTAGCAAAGTATCCCAGAACTTAAGGCTGAAAACAACAAACACTTATCATCTTACAGTTTCTGCGGGTCAGAAATTGGGAGCACTTTAGCTGAGGGGTTCAGGCTCAGGGTCTCTCGTGAGGCTTGGTCAAGATGTCAGCCAGGGATGCAGTCATCTGAAGGCTTGACTGGGGCTGGAAGATGTGTGGTCTCACTTCCCTGACATTTGGGTCTCTCCAGCAGGCTGCCTGAGTGTCATCAGGACATGGCAGCCTGCTTCCCCCAGAGCAAGTGAACCAAGAGAGAAATAGTGAGATGGACTCTTTGGTGTCTTTCATGGCCTAGCTTTGGAAGTTATATGCCATCGCTGCTGCTTTATTCTATTTGTTATAAGTGAGTCACGAAACCTAGCCCATACTCAAAGAGAGAGAAATTAGGCAGCACCTTTTAAAGAGAGTGTCAGTTGGGTGTGGTGGCTTATGTCTGTAATCCCAGCACTTTGGGAGGCTGAAGCAGGACTGCTTGAGATCAGGAGTTCCAGACCAGGTTGGACAACATAGGGACCTAATATCTAAAAACAAAAACAAAACAAAACAAAAAACCCCAGAAGGTCGAGGCTTGTGATTGAGCCACTGTACTTCAGCTTGGGCAACAGAGTGAGACCTTGGCTCAAAAATAAACAAATAAAAATAGAATGTTAAAGAATTTGTGAATATATTTTCGACCATCACAACTAATAGATAGCAGAGCCTGGCTTCAACTTTGGGCCTTCAAACTCATTCCATTTGCTAATATGAAATGGATTTATTATTATACAATGAAGTTATTGTCTATTGTATAGTATGTTAAAAGTCAAGATGTCAGCCAGGGATGACTTCATTTGACTTCACTTTAACAAGCTTTAAAAGATAAAGTTAAAGATGAGTGTAACCATGAGTTCAGTAAGGCAAGAAGCGTTGGAAGAGGCTTTGTTGCTGTGGCGTCTGTCCTGCAGCGAGATGTTGCTTGGCCATCCAGGGCGGACGTGCTCACTGCCTGGCCCCAGGCTTTCACACTCTGGCCTTACCTAGAGTGCTCCTCTGTCCACAGCCTGCCAGACAGGTTCTAGACCTGTACCAGATACACATGCTATCTGCTACTAGCCTCTCTGCGGCTAAGAGAGCAAAGTTATGATTCAGGTTCCCTTATAGGCTTATGAATGTCACATAGAAGAATACCGTCTATCCAGTTGCCTGGATAACAAAATATAAGCTCTTGGCCACAGCATGATCTGAGAGAAAGAATGTGGATGTATCAGGGCAACTATGGAAAAACAAATACAAATGCAAGATTGTCTGATAGTCCAGTGGGCCAAATTGTCGCTGATCGGTTCATGTAGCAGACCTTTACTAAGCCTAAATATGTATGCTACATCTTGAGATTTTCATACAAGAAATGTTAATTATCAAAACATTTCTCAGTTGTCAGAAGGGAATCCCAAATGTTACCTCAGGCTGGCAACTCCCCTTGGTGACACAGCCGGGACGTTAAGCACTTTGGTGCTGAATGCATACCCTGCACTGTTAGAGCTCCACTCTCCACACTGTATTATATGACTGTAATCAAGAAGCTTATACTTCTTTCATGCAACTTGGGCTTTTTCAGATTCTGATACAGGACACAGCTTCTGTTCTGATTCTGGCACTGAAATGCAGAGTAACAAATGTCAGGACTGTGGCAGCAGGATTCCTACCTCCCGAAGAGGCTGCAGGAAAGAACCACCTAGAGGTAAGACTCACCTGGGGCCTCAGATAGGTGAGAAGGGAGACAGCCACTGTTCCCAGGCAATGAACTGTATTTTTAATTTTTTCTTTCCAGAATTTCATTATAGATATAACGCTCTAGGACAGAATTACTCAAATCATAGCAAAAGAGGTGCCTTTGTCCAGCCCCATTCTTTAGATGAAAGTAAGAACTCTTCTCCCTGTAAGTACATTTCCTGCATGATCCCATCCATATCAACAACCTAATGTCCCAGGTATAGAACACCCACATGACATTGGCCACTGCTTCCATCTGGGAAGCCCTGGCCTCTCCATTCTGCTGCCCAGGTCTCATGCACTCGCCTGACAAGTCCAAATCCAGCCCTACACCTGGAAGGCAAGAGGCTGAGCTTGGGCTGGAAAATACGAAATCGCAGTGACCAAGGACTTTGAAAGTTATTAAGTGCTATACCAGTGCAAGTTGGTAACAACCCATAAATGTCTGCTGAACAAATAAATGACTTACTGGATAATCACCGCTATTATTGTTACTATTCAGAGGTGGCTAATGCTTTAGATATATCCCTCCTAAGAGTCAGAATGTAGAGAAATAGACGATTTTTATACTCCATAGACATCATGTTGCTAAATTCCAATGCAAAAATTTGCTGTCTTTGAAAAAAAATTAAAATCCCACAAACATGTATTTAAAAAGATGAATGACATGGCTGCTCCTTCCCAAGCTCCTTCCCATGTCTGCTCACACCCAAGTAAGGAAAGTTCAAAGCAATATGGGTTAAGTTCTAAAAGCAGGGCAAAGTGTACCAAGGGAACAGGAAAGAGGGAAGGAAATACTCCTAGGTTTTTTGTTTTGTTTCGTTTTTTTTTGAAATGGAGTTTTGCTCTTGTTGCCCAGGAGTAAAATGGCACGATCTCGGCTCACTGCAACCTCTGCCTCCTGGGTTCAAGCGATTCTCCTGCCTCAGCCTCCTGAGTTGCTGGGGTTACAGGCATGCACTACCATGCCTGGCTAATATTTTTTTGTATCTTTAGTAGAGACAGGGTGTCTCCATGTTGGTCAGGCTGGTCTTGAACTCCTGACCTCAGGTGATCTGCCCACCTCAGTCTCCCAAAGTGCTGGGATTACAGGCGTGTGCCACTGCGCCCGGCCGATACTCCTTGTTTTACTGCTGAACAACAGCTATACCTGGTTCTCTGATAGGCGCCACATCCTTTGCCCTCATACCTTCAGAGCTCTTCTCTCCTTCTCCGGGAAAGGGCACCAGGGAGACTGTTTCTTATCTTTCATGATAGCCAGTGCCCAAGACTTAGGAATGTCATTTACCTGATTGACCTGAGGTGTGTCTCCCCTCCCCACCTCCAGCTGCCAAATCCTCCAACTGCATGTATTCTCTTGAAGTGACAGTTACTAAGACTGCAGAAGCCACAGGGCAGACTTCTTGGCTATCTCCTTGGTCTTGCAGTCTACAGCCTGTGACACTTGTCATGCCAGTGTACGAACGAGGACTGCTACGGAGTCATCCTCAATGTGATCTGGAACTCCATTAGCTGACTAAGCGGGTAGAAGTTACAGGGAGGCAGCTTTTCCTCCAGGGTACAAAGACCCTTACAGCACCTGGAGCTGACAGAAAATGGAGTAGGCTGTGGCAGGAGGTTGTGAGCCCATCCGTGGACTGGTAGGCAAGGTACTTTGTCCGGGTGTTGTAGATGTGTACACTGGACTAGAACTGGACCAGGTGACACTGTGGTCCTTTCTAACTCTGAGTTTCCAAGAAAATCCAAAATTACATTTGGAGACCACCAAAGAATCAAGATTGAGCTCATCAGTGCCTCTTCGTCATGCCCCAAGTCTTGGTGGTCACATGACTGAATCTGGGTTTCTGGTTTCTGCCCTGCCTTGCGTTTCTGAGGGACAATCTCTCCCAGTTTCCCTTGTCCAATGGGACCCTCCTGAGGGTGAGGGTAGTCTGGCTACTTGACACCAATGAATAAGACAGGAGACCTGGAGGGAGAACGAGGGAAGACAGAAGAGAAGCAGAAAAAGAGGGAAAGGGAGGGGAAGAAGGGAGTCTCGGTGATAGAGAAGGCAGATTTGTTGGCCGCTGACTCACCTCTTTTCTTTTCCCCGGCTTTCTTCTTGTCTTCCATAGTGACTTTTCCACATTTTTCTTCTTCTCTGTTTAGTCTCTATTTTCTGGAATTGTAACATAATCATTAGTTTCTACTCCTAGAATCTTAACTCCTAAAATTGAAGAGGATTTCAGGAATCCATTTGGTCCAACCTCTTGGAAGATATTATCCCTCCATTTATCAGATGCGGTAATTAAAGCCAGAGAAGTCAGACATCATGCACAGGTCATATAGCAAGCACCCAGGGAACCCAAACTCCTGGTTTCTGTCTGCTAATAAAACTCTCCTTATTATTATTATTATTATTTTGAGACAGTCTTCACTCAGGCTAGAGTGCAGAGGCACTATCTCAGCTCACTGCAACCTCTACCTCCCAAGTTCAAATGATTCTCATGCCTCAGCCTCCCAAGTAGCTGGGATTACAGGCATCCACCATCACGCCTGGCTAATTTTGGTATTTTTTAGCAGAGATGGGGTTTCACCATGTTAACAAGGCTGGTCTTGAACTCCTGACCTCAGGTGATCTGCCCACCTTGGCCTCCCAAAGTGCTGTACTTAAAAGTGTGAGCCACTGCACTCAGCCTAAAACTCCTTTTAAAATTGAATTTCCTTTCCTAAGTTCAGAATACTTCATAGAAATTTCTTTTTAAAAATTTTTATTTTTAGGGACAGGGTCTAACTCTTGTCACCCAAGCTGGAGTGCAGTGATATGATCATAGCTCAATGCTTCCATGAACTTCTGGGCTCTAGCGAACCTCCTGCCTCAGCCTCCTGAGTAGCTGAAAAACTTTAGGTACATGCCGCCGTGCCCAGCTAATTTAACAAAAAATTTGTAGTTAGTATGGAAGGGGTTTATGAATTTTTTTTTTTTTTTTTGGTAGGGACAGGGTCTTACAATGTTGCCAAGACTGGTCTTGAACTCCTGGCCTCAAACAATCCTCCCGCCTCAGCCTCCCAAAGCACTGGGATTACAGGCATGAGCTACCATACCCAGCAAAACTTCTTTGTTGTCTATGTTTCCCAGTTTTCAGATTTATTAAAATTTTATTAAGTATTTCATTCATATAAAAAGTTCAAGAAATGATACATATGTACCATTTGGGGCTCATTTTTGATACTCTGAATTTAATCATAGCTAACATTTTTCAGCTTTTTTAAAACAAAAACGGATCTGTTCTCAGAGAGTGAATTCAAAATCCTTTAAAGGTGAACATGAGTCTACACCAGGAAAGTAAGTATTATTTCATTATTACTAACAAAACATCTCTCATTGGTTGGGTACATAAAGTGTACTTGATAGTGCATTAACTGCCTACCCCAAGGTAACCTAGATGATTATTAGTAGAGCCAGGATTCAAACCTAAACCTATCTAACACTTCAATCCTTCGTTTATTCAACAAATGTTTGAGTAAATGTTTGTTTATTCAATAAACCAAGTCATTGTGCTAGGTACTGAGGACACAGGACAAAGCCAGCCACGGTCCCTGCTGTCACAGAGCTTACTGTTTTGGCAGAGAAGCCACATAGTCTTTGTAAGTGCCAAGAAAGGGATGCACAAAGTCCTACTGATCTAATTTGGTAGTTAAGGGAAGCTGTGCTTCAAAGGATAAGTATGAATGAGCTAGCAAGGGGATCTGGGGGCAGTGAAGAACATTCCAGTCTCAGAAAGCTTCCTGGTGTGAGGAGGCGCTTGGCAAGTTGAGGAATGGTGTGGCTGGAACCCACAAGAGGGAGTGGCAGTGGAGCAAGATGAGGCTGATGAACGAAGGCTGATGGAATTGCCAGGGCCAGACTGTACAGGGGCTTGTCAGTTCCAGGAATTATTTCAGAATCTTAGGAGCAAGGGGAAGCCAATTAGGGTGGTTATTTTTTTTTGTTGTTAATTTGTTTTTATTTTGAGAGACAGGGTCTCCCTTTGTCACCCAGGCTGGAGTGCTGTGGTGATCATATCTTGCTGCAGCCTTGAACTCCTGGGCTCAAGGCATCCTCCCACCTCACCTCCTGAGTAGCTAGGACTATCGGTGCAAATTAAAAAAAAAAAATTGTAGAGACAGAGTCTTGCTGTGTTGTCCAGGCTAGTCTTGGACTGATCTCAAGTGATCCTCCCACCTTGGTCACCCAAAGCACTGGGATTACAGGTGTCTGGCTCCCCCAGTGAAGTTTAAAAAAAGTTTTTTGAGGCAGGGTCTTGCTCTGTTGCCCTGGCTAGAGTGCAATCTTGGCTTACTGCAGACTTGACCTCCTAGGCTCAAGTGATCTTCCTACCTCAGTTTCTTGAGTAGCCGGGAGTAGAGGCATGTGATACCACAGCCAGCTACTTTTTTTTTTTTTTTTTTTTTGGTAGGGATGGGGTCCTACTATGTTTCCCAGGCTGATCTTAAACTCCTACTCTCAAGCGATCCTCCTACCTCAGTCACCCAAAGCACTGGGATTATAAGCATGAGCCACTGTGGCAGGCCCTCCCCTCCACAATTAAGTTTTTTAATCAGAGAATTTAAAAAGTTTTTTAGTGTTTTAAAGGATCAGTCTAGCTACTGAGGGAGTGGAAATGAATTAGAGGAGTTAAGATTGGAGGACAAAGGCCAAATAAGAGGCTAGTGCAATAATTCAGGTGAGAATGCTGCAGCTTGGCTAAGGGTGGAGATGGAAAGAGAAAGTCTGTATATTCATTTAAGAGCTATTTAAAAGACAGAACCAATAGTGCAGCAGAGTGGCTAACAGTTCAGGCTCTGACTGAGAGCCACTCAGTCTGAACCTGCTACCCTCTATCATAGTCTAGCCCAGTATTTTAAGAATGTTTAAGAATTTAAGAATGTGGCCTTTGGAGACTTCTTGTTTTTTTGTTTTTTTGAGATGAAGTTTTGCTCTTTTGCCCAGGTTAGAGTGAAATGGCAAGATCTTGGCTCACTGCAACCTCTGCCTCCCGGGTTCAAGTGATTCTCCTGCCTCAGCCTCCCAAGTAGCTGTGATTATAGGGACTGGCCACCACACCCAGCTAATTTTTGTATTTTTAGTAGAGATGGGCTTTTGCCATGTTGGCCAGGCTGGTCTCCAACTCTTGACCTCAGGTGATCACCTTCCTTGGCCTCCCAAAGTGCTAGGGTTACAGGTGTGAGCCACCGCACCAGGCCAACTTTTTGGGCTTGTCTTGGTTCTGTGTCCTTGGGGAGTTTCCTTGACATCTCTGTGCCTCCATTTCCCCAAATGTGAAATGGGAATCATAATAGTGCCAAACTCATTGAGGACTGAGTCCATACATACAAAGCACTTAGAATGGTACCCAGCTCATAATAAGTACTCAGCAAGTGATGGCTGTTACTATATTGTTGTCAGTGGAGACGGATGGGATATGGGGAGAGAGAGGAGTCTGCACCACTCTGCCATCCCCTACCCAGAGTATTTCATTAGTTGCGGGCCCCTGATGCTGGACTACTATTGCCTGGAGGATCAATCCAATGTGTTAAAATAACTTGCAGAGCTGAATGATGTTCATATGGCAGGGGAGAGGGAAGAAGGGATGTTTTCTGAAGATGATATTGCTCACAAGTGTTTTAGGTACCAAAGAAGTAATGCTTAACAGTGGAAACCTGAAGCTAGGGGAAGATGTGAGGGTGGCTCTACGACAGCCCGTTCTCATGGCATCCTTCAGGGCCACTGCTCATGCTGGAGAAAAGCATAACTTCAGGCAGTGCCCTTCACAGACTATGCAAATAACCCCCCAGAGCCATGCTCTGCACGACCTGAACAGCTCAGTGGCCCTGCACCCCTAATTCACCTAGAGCAGACTTCAGCCTATCCCTAAGAGACAGAACCCATCGAAGTGTTGCAGGCAAGTGCAGCCTGTTTACTTCAAAAGAAGCGGCTTTTATTTTTTGACTGCTTCTGCCTCGTTGGGGTGAAAGCTCACTGGTGCCAGAATGAACTCAACCCAAGGTACCTGTAATTGGTAGTTTTGTGTATTTGTTTTATAAAAACGCAACGTAGAAAGTTGGCCCCAAAAGAATAAAAACAGAATAAAAAATGTCTTTGGAGTCTTGCCTCTTCCTGTACCAGAGGAAAAGCAGATAAATTCTGGGAGGAAAAACTCATGGTCATGGCAACAACCTTTTTCTGAAGCTCAGCTGTGGTCAGCCACTTGGGAGCATGAGAGCTACGAAGGCAGCGGGTGCACAAACCCACCCACACCCAAACCACACACATAGAGCTATTACCGACCACGGAGCTGACGTGAACAAGTGTGTGGTAGAGGGTAGTGCTTTACACAAGTATCAATGTGTTTTTGTCTTCCAGAAAAAATCTTCACACTTTCAGGACCTACAGCTCAGACCTTGCCACACCCTCACCCCATTTATACTCCTGCAGGATTTCTGGAAGCAAATCCTTAGATGACTTTGATAGCACTGAAGAAACAAAATCTAAGGTGAGGACTTAGAAAATAATTCAAGAATCCTTGCAGCTCTTAAGTTTGATCTTGATGACCGAAGAACTGACAGCTCTTAAGTTATTACAGTATCAGAGCTTCAGAAAATGCTCTGCCTAAAGACATGTACTCAGTACTAAGCTAAAGACATACAGCCTCAGCAGCTGCATGGTCTGTATTATTCCTAAATTGGTTCCAAGGGTAATTTCCTGGAGAAAGTGATTTGTGGCTGGTGCCTCACCTACAGGATATCCCTGGCCCGGGCCTGAAGGCACTGGGTCTGTTTCAGTGACACTGTGATCAGGGCTGCCAGTGGTTTCCTATTTCAAGTCACTAACTCGAATCCCCAGGCCACTTTCAAATGTTTACACACGTATGCGCTGTATCCCTGAGTACACTCTCAGTGGTTATGGCTCCCAAATCCCCATCAATGGCCCCTAAGAGCTGTTCTTTTATTCTTTCTCTGCGGCAGGGAAAAAGCCCAGCTGGCGGCTGACCTCACCCTCTGATTCATGCCCATCAGTCACGTGCTGGTCTTTTTTTCAATCCCTTTCCCTAACAAATATATTCCATCTCAGACTGGTCTCCTAGGAAACCAACCCTCAAAAACAGAAATAGACCAAGTGGAAAATAGGAATACTCCAAAAATTCCACCTTGTAATGTTTAATGAGAGAATCCAATGAGCAGAAACAGCAGTTAGTTTACGTAATTAAAATGTGTGGACTTTTTCTCCGTAGAATTTAAACTCGGCTTTGGATCATGCCCTAAGGACAGCAACCATTTTGAAAGAAACTACAGATCAAATGATTAAAATGATTGCAGAAGACCTTGCTAAAGCACAGAGGTGGAGGAATCGGCTGAAATACTAGTTCAATGCCAGGCAAAAGAAAAAAATGCAAAGAAAACTTGATCTTCCCCCAAAATGCATTTTGCTTGCTACACAATTTAGGGAAATAACTTTCTAGAGAAAACACAAAAAGTATAAGAAATGTGTAACACAAAGTACTTACAAGGAAAAAGAAAAAAAAGAAGGGATTTCTGATTCTTAAAACCAAAAGCAGTAAACAAGTACTTATTTTTAATAAATCTAGAAAAAAAGAAAGGACTTCTGATTCTTAAAATCAAAACTAACCAACAGGTATTTATTTTAAAATAAATCTATGTTCTTCCTAACTCATAATAAAAGAAATCAAAACAAAACAATGAGTTTCCTTAATTGAAGTTTGAAGGAACCCTGTGTGAGGATGGAGGGAAACTGGTAGTCTCATAGGCTGTTGGCAGAAATGCAACCTTTTTGGGAGATTATTTGATAATATCTACCAAGTTCCACAAATTCTAAATCATGTACCTTCAGAGCAGCAATTCCACCACTAGGAATTTCCTTTATATACAAGTCATACAATGTTGCATGATATATGTAGAGGGAAGGCCACTGGAGCACTGATGGTAATAACCCCAAGGGGGAACTAATCTAAATACCTCCTGTGATGATTCATAAATGACAATACTTTGTAGCCACCAAAAAGAATGAGGTTGGATTATTTGCAAAATAGTCAGTGAAAGAAGCAAGATGCCTAAGCATATATATATGTACTTCTAACCTCATTTGCATATATTTTTAAAGAGACAGGGGTTTTACTATGTTGCCTGGGCTGGACTTGAACCCCTGGGTTCAAGCAATCCTCCTGCCTTAGCCTCCTGCGTGGCTGGGACTACAGGTAAGCACTGTGCCTGGCTCTTCATTTGTGTATTTTTTTTTCAAGGGTATACATATTTTCGGGAAAGATACCTAAAAAATCTTAAGTGAACCTCTAGTAAATGAAACTGGGAGTTTTGGGGGAGAAGGGGTTTTTACCTTATTTTCTGTACTATATGACATTCTTACAATATACTTATGTTGTAAATCAAAATTATTTGTTTAGAGATATCTTAAAATAAAAAATTTACAAAAATAATAGCCTTAGATTAATAATATTTTGGAAAAGACAATTCATTAAAACTGTATACCAGAGATTAAGTAAATTTGTAATGTTTCATGTAGACCAGAGCAGGCGTTTTATTTTTTCAGCGCAAGCTTTTGATTTGCTTCTTTAAGACTGATTTACTACCTCTTTAGTGACAGCAGAGCAGGGTTTGGCTCTTTCCCTTTCCTGAAACTTCTGATCTTAATTCACCCCAGACATTCAATGAATGGTTTCTCAACTCCCAAGTTTGGCTCAGTGGTCAGGAGGGAGCTGAATCTGTTCCCACTTTAGATTTTTGTGCCAATGTGGGCAGTTGCTATTTGTCTAGCTGGCTGAAGAGTGGGCTGTTTTTAACTTTGGGGCTTATAAATTGGTTTAGGGTACCCTGGAAGAGATAAAGCAGGGGTCAGTCTGAAAACACCTCTGACTTTATGGTCAAATTTACTTTAGGCTGTGGCACTGTAAAGAAGATAGCAAGGAACTATGGGTAGTGTTGTAAGAGAAAAAACAGAGCTTAAACTGTGCATGCTCTATTAAACAAAACTTATGGGAGGTCATTTTTTTTTTTTGGACTAAGCTCCTGCATGAGATCCCAACAGACCAGACCAAACTAGAATGGAGTCACTCATGTTAGGTGACATGTAATCAAACTGAACTTTAAAATAGGCCAGTTTTTTTTTTTTTTTTTTTTTTTACAAGAACCCAGAACATTCACAGTATCCCATTAGAAGGGGCCCCATCAACCTGAGCTGGCATAAGGAGCTCCCCTCTGCTGCAACCCATACAAAGATACCTATTGTTCCTTTTTTCTGCCTTTTCTGCCTATAAAACCTACTCCCTGCACTCAGCCTTTCTATTTCATAGATGGAATGCTGCCCAATTCATGAATTGCTAAAAAAGGCCAATTAGGTCATTGGACTCAATTTGCTGACATTTTGTTTTTTTGGCAGTTCTAAGAGGCTTCCAGCTTCATCACGTATCTCAATTTAATCACAACTTGCTAACCTGTTTTATATGCCAAGTGTCACTATCTCATCTCCAAGTTTAAAAATCACATAATCTCTGGCTTGAAGTGTTCTTGTATGATTCATTTGTTCTTAACCTTTTTTGGGCTCATCCTTTTTTGAGAATCTGGTGAAAGCTATGGAGTCTCCCTTCCCCCTGCTCTGCCCTCTCATAGAAAAAAATACATTTGTAAAAGTTCAGGGACACCCTGAAACAAATCCACGAAACCTTGGTTAGAAACATCTACCATTAATGAATATTTCTAAATCCCTCAAATTAACATTTATAGAAATTGGCAATTATAATTTTGATTTAAAAAATATGGCCCATTTCTGCTTTATCAAACCATATTCTAAATGTAATTTTCCATTTCCTTGAAGATTAGGAGTCATTGTGAGCAATCACTGCAACATGACTAATCTAATAAACAGAAAAAAAGGGCAGGTAATGCCCTTAAGGAGTTCTAGGAAGGCACTAGATTCTGATTTATAAGGATGACTTTATACTTACTGATTCTGTAGTCTTGGCCATCTCTTCCCTCATGCAATTCTTTTGTGTCAATTCTTATGACTTCTCTTCTAATTCTGTGCCAGTAATAAACCAGAAAAACAACCTTATGAAGTAAAAATAATGGCACCCCTAATACTGGGGGTCAAGGGGCTCAGCATTGCCTGACAGCAGTGGTGCTGTACACAACACTTGGGAGTCTCCAGGGTGCAGAGGCCTCTTAGTATTTACTCCAAGGTCTAGCTGTGCTCTGGCTGCTTGAAGCCGCCAGTAGGATGCAGTGGGACTGTCTGTAGAGGGCTTTTATTGTCTTTAAGAGAAAGTTCTAGCCATTCCCTTTAGTTAACTATTAGATTTTGCAAAAGAAATCTCATCTTTTTATCCTTTCTATTGTAATCTTGTTAATGAATTATATAAAATAGGCCAAATTTGTACTAAAAATGAATATGTATTTATATTTAATAGACAAAACATTGTTTTGGTAGTAAAAATTTTCCTATAGGAGGAAGACATTCCTTGCTGCTTTGATTTTAGAAGAAATCTGCTTGCATCCCAATAGGACTTAGCAAGGGTATAAAATACCAAGGGAAGAACTGAGTTATGGAGGTGCCGTATCTTACACAACAATGTGGGGTCAGGCCCTTTGGGGCTCAAATCCAAGAATTTTGAGACCTTGTAAACTCCTGTTGTGACCCTGGAGCAGTCGAGGCTAAGGGTCTAGGAACCAGATAACAGGATTAATAAAGATATCCTTACTTATTTTTTACTAATATGGTTGAAGAATGTGAATCCACTGTACTTTATAAACAAAGCACATTTCA